ATATATATATATATATATATATATATATGTATATATGCATATGTATATGTATATATAGGATATATATATGTTATATATGATATATATATGCATATATATATATATATATATATATATATATATATATATATATATATATATATATATATATATATATATATATATAGGAGGTGGGCCTTGCCAGTCATCCTCCCCCCAGATATAACCAATCGGCAGTGCTTGATATGGAAGGAAAGGCTGGGAGGAGGGGAATAGTAGCTCCCACCCAGCAAGTGAGGTGGACTGTGGGCCCTGCTGGAGTGCAGGCTGGGAACGGGAACTACTCACCTTGCCTGCGCTCTGGGGGCCGCCAGTCCAGAGTGAAGCTTGTGGGGGAAAGTCCTAGGGAACCACACAGGTGGATGATGGGGCACACAGCCCGCCACCCCCTTTTATATGGGGCAGCGTCAGTGAGGTTGGCAGAGGTGGCATCCACCCGGAGTGACTGTCCGAGACTGACCTCAGGCGGGAAGTTAGGGTGGGGGCTTGGAACGTCCGTTCTTTGTGTCAGGATGATCGGTTGCCTCTACTGTCAAGGGAACTGGGGTGGCTGAGATTTGAGGTGGCTGCACTTATAACTGAACAGGCCGTAGTGACAGCCACCATCTCCAGGGAGTAGTCATTACCATCTCCAGCAGACTCCAGCCCTGGGTAGTAGAGGTTACTCCTGTTGATGAGCGTATAATGGTATTGAGACTGAAGCTATCTTTTGGCTTCATGTCTCTTATTGCTGTGTACGCTCCTACCGATGTTTGTAAGCTTGACGTGAAAAAGATGTTCTATGCCAAATTTGCATCCGTGGCAAACAGATTGTTCTGGGTGACTTCAATATGGTATCAGGCTGTGATCGAGCAGGCTTTGAGATTGTCTGTCGGTCCCCATGGTTCAGGAGCTGATGCCGGCAGTGAGAATAGCCTCCATTTCCGGGATTTTTCTAGGTTTCAGAAATTGAGGATTTCTGGCTCCTGGTACCAGTGCCCAGACCCACATCGTTGGACATGGTACATGCAGCCAAGGAGATCAACCACATACTCATTAGCACTCGTTGGAGGATCCTCCAGAATTGCAGGGTGTACAGGAGTGCTGAGTTCTGTGGTACTGACCATAGATAGGTTCTGGCTACCCTCCGAGTCCACTTCAAAACTCCCCAACATAAGTGGTCAGATTGTTTAAGATCCTGTTGCAGTGCACGAACATTGGGCTGAGTATTTTGAGCATTTGTACCAGGTTGACCCACCAACAGTAAACTTACATGCGGGTAGTGCCGTGATCTGCGGCATACCAGCTGAATTCTTAAAAGCTGGTGGTGGAGCTATGGCGCGTGAGTTACATGCTGTCCTGGCTGCCATATGGCGGTCTGGTACCATTCCTCCTGATCTGTTGAGGGGGTGTGGTCATCCCTCTCTGGAAGGGGAAGGGGGACCGTTGGGACTGCAGCAATCACCGAGGCATCACACTGGCATCACACATCAGTATACCTGGCAAGGTTCTCACCCACATCCTTCTCAGATGCATCAGCGACCATCTACTGAGGCATCAGAGACTGGAGCAATCTGGATTCACTCCTGGTAAGTCCACAATAGACCGTATCCTCGCGCTTCGAGTCATTGTAGAGTGCCGCCGTGAGTTCAGGTATGGGCTGCTTGCAGCCAACATCGACCTTAAGAAGGCATTCGACACGGTGCATCAGGAGTCACTCTGGGAGATCCTGCATGGACTGGATACTGGGCAGAGCTACTGTTCAAAATCATTGTGGAGCAACTGGGCAACATCAAGGTTACAGACCTTGACTTTGCTGATGATGTTGCTATTCTGAGTCTTTGGAAACCTTAGTGGTGACTCTGTATACATTTAGCAATGAAGCAAAACCCTTGGGTCTAGAGGTCTCCTGGACCAAGACCAAGGTCCAGGACTTTGGGGACTTGCTAGGAGAACCTGTTCAGTCGGTACGTGCTTGCGGCGGGGACATTGAAGTCACAGAGAGCTTTACATACCTTGGTAGTGTAGTTCATAACTCTGGGCTGTCAGACCAGAAAGTCAGCAGACGGATTGGCCTGGCAGCAGGGGTCATGAACTCTTAACAACAGTATTTGGAGATGTCATTACCTATGCAGAAGGACCAAGGTACGGGTTTTGAAGGCCCTGATAATGCCAGTTTTGCTATACGGTAGTGAAACCTGGACATTATCCTGTGCCTTGGAGGCTCGTCTTGAAGCCTTTTGTAATAGGTCCTTGTGCTGGATCATGGGGTACTGTTGGCGGGACCATGTGTCCAACCAACGGTTGCACCATGAGACTGGCACAGGACCTGTTATCTGCACAATCTGTGATCGCCAACTCTCTAACAGAGATAAGGTCGTCTCTGTTAGAGATAACCCTGGGTGGAGGAGGCCTGTGGGACGACCTAGGAAGTCGTGGCTTGGGCAGATCGATCAAACCTGTTGTGAAGAACTCGAGATGGGCCGAGTCCCTGCCTGGCGTCTAGCCACGAGGGATCCTTGTAAGTGGAAGCGAATGGTGGATGCGGCTATGTGCCCCTGTCGGCGTCAGCCTCATTGATAATGATGATGATATATATTTATATATATATTATATATATATATATAATGTATTTGTATATATGTATATATACGTATATATATATATATTATATATCATATATAATATATATTTTATCATTATATATATATATATATATATATATATATATATATATATATATATATATATGTGTGTGTGTGTGTGTGTGTGTGTGTGTGTGTATGTGTGTGTGTGTGTGTGTGTGTGTGTGTGTGTGTGTGTGTGTGTGTGTGTGTGTGTGTGTCTATGTGTGTGTATATAGATATACATATGAAAAAAGGAATAATACACTAACGCTTTGATATCTTGAATATATAACCTCACCGATAGGGATTTGAACCCCCACCGCCATTGCAAGAAACTAGCTAGACGGTCACTCTAACCACTGATACACAACCCACTAAAAAGAGTGTGCAATTAGGAGCAATCTAGCATCCATAGACATTAGTGATTAGTTTTTTATTTTGTATTTTGTGTGTATGTAAGTTCTTTTGTATTCTTTGTTATTATATATTTATTTATTTATATTTTATTATTATTATTTTTTCATTTTATTATTATTATTATTATTTTTTGATATTTTCACTGTTATTGTTATTATTATTATTATTATTATTATTATTATTATTATTATTATTATTTTTTGTTATTATTATTTTTATTGTTATTATTATTATTATTATTTTGATATCATCACTATAATTATTGATCATTATTATGATGTTTATATTTATTATCTAGTATTATTATGATTATGATTGTTTTGTTGTTTTGGTGTTATTTGATTGAATTTACATATTTTATTCTCATTTTTATTACAATCATCTTTATCATAAGTAATCATCATAACCCCATGATAGCTGTAATCACCATTATCATTAATATTTTCATGGCTATCATTTTGATGATCATTACTATTTTAATACTGTTGCAGTAAGTAACTAATTCACACAATTGAATTTCAGATGATTGTAAAAACATTGCCAACATCCTGCGAGCACTGGCAGACAGAGGTTGCAAATTTCAGCCAACCAATTATAATGAATAGACCTGCAGCTGTTTTGAATGTTAAGATTGATTTTTACATTAGGGACTGTTAATCCTCACACAGAGGCACTTATTAAGTTTAAGCTTGGGAGGACGGTCTACACACAGTCATGTTTTGCAACTTCATAAACATGCTTTAAGTGCCTGACTATAATATAAGTAACTGGATAATGTCTGAATACTTATTACCATTATAGCTTCCCTTTAGCCCATGCTGCCTGGAAAAGGTAGTAGCTATGTGAAATGTCTCTACACAAATGCTTAGCCACCAAGGAGTCAATTAAGAGACCTCGTAAATTACCTGATTTTACATTTATTTTAGACATATATTATAATTATTATAATCAACATTACTATTAATAATGTAAAATTGCCCCTTTGTTCTTTTTAAATTAAGGAGAGGTAAACAGGTGAGATAGGAAGTACTAGCTGTACCCTCATTGGTGACTTGAGTATGTTTGGAGCCATCTTTTTATAAAGACAATTAATTAACTAAATTAGTTATGCACATGCCACCATCCCTGGTGGCATCGGGTTAAGGGTAGCACAGTGGAGCCTTGTGGGAGGGACCAATGTTTTTTTGAGCACTTTGTTATCTTGTGATCAGTTGATTCTAGGAAATTATAAATAGATAATGTTTAATTATTTTTTCTCTCTGGTCAGTCTTGCAGTTTTCTGTATATAGTATATTTGTTTTCATTGATTCATTACAATAATTTATGTGTTCCCATTACCTATAGATGGATTTCATAGATAATAAATTGACTTTTGCAGATCTTGTAATTTGAATTTCTACTGTTTTATGTAATACTATCTACATATACATTTTATTAATTATTCTTTAGATAAAAAAATGTAAGGAAGCAATTCTGTAGCAATAAAATTAATAAATAAATATAATGTACATTTCTAAAGAAGAAGAGTTGACAAAATGCTTGTTTATCCTCAAACTTAAAATATTTTATGAAGTTGGTAAGATATTTTCTACTGTTTGCATTGATTTTTTTTTCATGAAATTGCCAAGCCTTTAAATATGAATAATTACATAAGTGTAGGTGAAAGGGCTGAATGAGTATATGAGTATTATATATGAGTAGTTCCACGGGAGAACAAGCCAATACCTTTTTTTAATAGAACAATCAAAGCAACATCAAGTGGTAGAGGAAGCCTTGAGCCCCCTTTTGCGCGCGTTAACATGTTTTCGCAGGTTGTGAAAGTGTGTTTTAGTCCGTAGACAAGAGCTTAAGGTGTCATCTACCACTAGAAGTTGTTTTGATTGTTCTTTTAAAAAATGTCACAGCTCGTTCACCAGAGGAGCTACTCATATAGTAAAA